AACAGAATTCACTAACATATCAAAAAAATAATTCACCATGATCAAGTGTGATTTATACCAGGTATGCAGGGATGGTTCAACATTAGAAAAACAATCAGTGCAATCCATCACATAAATAAAACAAAAGACAAGAATCACATGATCTTATCAATCAACACAGAAAAGGCATTTGACAAAGTCCAACACCCATTCATGATAAAAACTCTCAACAAAACAGGAATAGTAGAATTTCTCATTACAAGGCTTCCTTTATGCCGGTACTACATATATACGTATCCACAAATAATATGTACTACAGTTTAGCATTTTTTAATTTTATACAGATGGTGTCATACTAAGCGCATTCTTCTGAACTTTCTTTTGCTCAACTCCGTGTTTATAAGATATATCCATGATGATTTATATGTGTTGAAGTAGTGATTTTCACTGCTATCTATTCCACTGAACAAAAATATAATTTATTCATCCATTCTTCCAGCCTATTTGTTATTACTGAAATGCTATTCTAAATGTTTTTCTACATGTTTTCTTGTGTGTAGTACAAGCTTTTGGACAATACTTCTTTCAATGACGGCTGCACGAAAAAGCTACAGCACTTTAAAAAATTCTACTTCTCAGGCTCCAACTCAGACGAGTCAAATAATCTCAGTATTTGTTTTAAAGTTTGTGGCTTTAAAATGTGCAGTTAAAGTGAAAAGAGCTAATTTAGGATATTTACCTGGAAGTGGAATTGTTGGAATATATGCTTTTAGCTTTTGTCAAATATTTTAAAAATTAAATTCTACTGACCGCCATTAAGGAGCCCTGGTGGTACAGTGGTTCAAGTGCTCAGCTGCAAACACAAAGGTCAATAGTTCAAACCCACCAGCCCGCTCTGCAGGAGAAAGATGTGGTAGTCTGCTTCTGTAAAGACTGACAGCCTTGGAAACCCTATGGGGCCATTCTACTCTGTCCTACAGGGTCACTAAGAGTCAGAATTGACTCAACAGCAAAAGGTGTGGTTTGGTTTGACTGTCATTAACATTCACCACAAAAGAAATTACAACTGATCACATAAGAAACCTCTTAGAAAAATAAGCAAGTTATCATACCTTCCTCTATACTCATGTTGTTGCATAGGGTAGCCAATAGCCACATGTGGCTAATGAGCCCTTGAAATGTAGCTAGTCTGACTTTAGATGTACTGTAAGTATAAAGTACACTGGATTTTAAAGACTTAGTACAAAAAAAGGGAATGGAAAATACCTCATCAAAAATTTTCGTACTATCTGGGGACCATGGTCTCGGGGAACATCTAGCTCAATTGGCATGACACAGCTTATAAAGACAATGCTCTACATTCTACCTTGGGGAGTAGTGTCT